AATTAAATATCGAGAAATTGAAAAATTGAAAAAACGAAAAACAAAAAATGATAAATTAAATAATCCAAAATACAAAAAATTTTAATTTCAAAATCCCACCATTTTAAAATGAATCTTGAAAAATCGAAAAATGAAAAAATTAAGGAATTGAATTGGATAATTGAAAAAATAATCGAAAAATTGTAATATTGAAACCTCAAAACTCTGATTAATTAAAAATCGAAAAATGGAAAAATCGACAAAACGAAGCAATTCTGCAATTTTTCGATCTAAAATTTTTCAAATTTTCGATTTTTAATTTTTATATTCGATTTTTATTTCTTCAGTTTCTCGATTTGGCATTTTTTAATTGTTCACTAAAAGGACAAATTTATTAAAACCGAAATTTTGAATTGAATTGAAAAATCAAAAAATTGAGAAATCGAAGAATTGACAAAACAAAGAAAACTTGAAAAAAACCGAAAAAATGAGACTTAAAAACTGAAAAATAAAATTTGAAATTTCGAAAAATTTAAAAATTTAAAAATTGAAAAATCGGTAAAAATGAAAAAATTGAGAAATTGAACAATGGGATAATTGAAAAAACAATTGAAAAATCCAGGAATTGAAAAAATAAAGAAAAATTGAAAAAATGAGAAAATAACAAGTGGATAATTAAAAAAACAATTAAAAAAACGAAAAATTGTAATATGGAAACCTGAAAACCCTGATTAATTAAAAATCGAGTAATCGAAAAATTGAAAAAACGAAAAACAAAAATTTCTATAAATTAAATAATCAAAAATACAAAAATTTTAATTTCAAAATCCACAGAGTTTAAAATGAAACTTGAAAAATCGAAAAATGAAAAAATTAAAAAAATGAATTGGATAATTGAAAAATCGAAAAATTGTAATATTGAAACCTCAAAACCCTGATTAATTAAAAATTAAACGAAGCAATTCTGCAATTTTTCCATATAAAATTTTTCAAATTTTCGATTTTTAATTTTTCATTTTCTCGATTTTGTTCAACAAAAGGACAAATTTATTCAAACCGAAATTTTGAATTGAATTGAAAAATCAAAAATTGAGAAATCGAAGAATTGAAAAAATAAAGAAAACTTGAAAAAAACGAAAAAATGAGACTTAAAAACTGAAAAATGAACCTTGAAATATCGAAAAATTTAAAAATGGAAAAATCCGTAAAAATGGAAAAATTGTAATATTGAGAGTGAAAATTTGAAAAAACGAAAACAAAAACTACTATAAATTCAAAAATTTTAAAATAAAAATCGGAAAACTCAAAAATTGTAACACTGAAAAATTGAAAAATCAAAAAATTAAAAACTCAAAAATCGAAAGAGCTGAACACTGAAAAATCCAACAATTTAAAAATTGAAATATCGAATAATTGAAAAAATAAAGAAAAAATTAAAAAACCGAAAAAATGATAATCAAAAATTGAAAAATGAGAAAATAAAACAAGTGGGTAAGTGAAAAAACAATTGAAAAGTTGAAAAATTGTAATATGGAAACCTGAAAACCCAGATTAATTAAATATCGAGAAATTGAAAAATTGAAAAAACGAAAAACCCAAATTTCTATAAATCAAATAATCAAAAATACCAAAATCCAAAGATTTTAAAATGAAACTTGAAAAATCGAAAAATGAAAAAATTAGGAAATTGATCTGGATTATTGAAAAATTGTAATATTGAAACCTAAAAATCGAGAAAGTGAAAAATTGAAAAAGCGAAAAACAAAAACTTCTATAAATTAAACAATTAAAAAAATCTAAATTCAACGATTTTAAAATATAAACCGGAAAACTAAAAAACTAAGTAAAAACGAAACATGTAAAATTAAAAAATTTTAACATCGAGAGTTGAGAAGTCGAAGAATTGAAAAAATACAGAAACTGAAAAATCGGAACATGAAAAAGCCAAAAATTGAATAATAAAAACCCTAATAACTATTTGAAAAAAGTAAAAAAATAAAAATCGACAAATTGAAAACAATTACAAAATTGTTAATTTAAAAAAAAAAATTAAAAATGGAAAAACTGAAGAAATGAAAAATTGAAAAACCAAACTTGAAATATCGAAAAATTGAAAAAATTGTCAAACTGAAAATTGAGTCACGAAAAAACAATTAAAAAATGGAACAACTGACAAAAAGCTGGAAACTGTTATGTATATCGAAAATTTGTAACATTGGAACCTGAAAAAGTGAAACATTAAAAATCGAGAAAACGAAAAATCGTAAAATTCAACAGATAGAAAATCGAAAAATTAAAAAGAAAATTAAAAAATCGAAAAGTTAAAATATCTACAAATAAAAAATCGAAAAAGGCAAAAATTACTGAAAATTGCAACAACTTCATAATGAAAATCCAAAAACTAAAAAATGGAGATATCGAAACACGGAAAAATCGAAAAATTATCAATTATTTATTTTTAATTTTTTATTTTCTCAATTTTTTGTTTTTTAATTTTTCAACAAAAGGACAAATTTATTAAAACTGAAATTTTAAAAAATCAAAAAATCGGAATATTGTAACAGTGAAAAATTGAAAAATCAAAAAATGAAAATCTGAAAAATCGAAAAAGCAACACTGAGAAACCCAACAATTTTAAAATTGAGATATCCAAAACTGAAAAAATAAAAAAACTCAAATCGAATAATAAAGAGGGCAAGAATTGGAAAAGCAAAAAGCTGAAAATTAAAAAACAGGAAAATCGAACAATTGCAAAATTTAAAATCAAAAATAGAAAAAACGAAACTTGAAACACCGAGAAATATAGAAATTGTAATCTTAAAACTTGAGAAACTGAAAACTTCAATCATTGAAAAAACAACTGAAAATTTGAAAAATTGAAAATAAAAGAAACTAAAATGGAAAAACTGATTAATTAAAAATCACACAGAAAAATCGTCAAAATATAAAATTCAAAAGTCGAAGAATGTCAAAATAAACATCTAAAAACTGTAAAATTAAAAAGTCGAAAACTGAAAAATTGAAAAAATAGCGAAAGTTAAAAATCAGATAACGAAAAAATCAAGAATTGAAAAATCAAAAAATTATAACACTGAAATCTGAAAAAACTGACTAAATAAAAATCGAGAGACTGAAAAACCGACAACAAAAAATTAAAAAATGCTCTCTTCCAAAGCTCAATTTTTCACCATGAAAATTCTGAAATTTCGACCTTTTTTGACCGCACCTAATAAAATGTTTTTCCTAGATTTCGACGACAAACTTGAGATTTAGCAGAAGCACTATGTAATGTATGTGTAATTTGAAATTAACCAAAATTTCCTTTAAAAGTCTATCACTGTATTCTGAATTCTACACACAGGAAAATCAATTCACTCATTATTCGCACAAATACCCGAATTTCCAGAATAGAAAAAATAATTCCAACACTGGAGAGTGGGGGCAATTTAGTTTAACAACCTCTCAAACGAGTTCGATAATTGCTGCAGCAAATATGTTATACGAGAGTGATCAATACCTGTTGAACCAACTCTGCTCCCATGCGATATTGTGTGATTCCAATTTAGTGGATCGATGCAAATCCAACAATATTACTATCGCTCCACGATAATGTTCACTACTCCTATTTATAGAAGAAAACATATGTGACGCAAATAATCCTTCTGCGGAGTTAATAAATCGACCCCTATTTTTTTTTTTTTGCCTCTTTATTAAATTCTAAGGTGGTTGTAAATTTTGTTGAAATTACCACTAAGTTGTATTTTTTTACTTACGAGTAAATAGTAATCATTGTTTACCAGGCGATATTAAAACATACAACATATGCCGCCTTTATTGAACACCTACATATTCATAACCGTGTTTGATTTTTAATGAAAAACCAGCTTTTGTGTTTCATCATAACTGTCTCTACAAAAGAGCCAATGTGGCCAAGCTGGAAATTAAAGCTTTGTTGGAGTGATTGGCAGTAGGTATTATTAAGCGATATCAGGTGATATTTGTTTCAAAAAATGGAGCCAATCAGAAATTAGCCCCCTCTACAAATTAGCGAAATTTCAAAACTTTGGCCCAATTAGGTGGCAACAAGAATCCATAAGTAAATAAACAACATCATTCGTTAAAAAAACAAAAACGCTGAAAATTTCCCCAGAGATAATGAACCGGAATTCACACTAAACCGATTTCGGACTGTAGTGAACTTTGGGAAGTGGACGTGGGTTTCGCCGAGGTTTATCTCGCTCCAGTCGTCTTTTATTTAGATTCCGCATCCACAAGGCCGTAAGACGATAAAACTTAAAATCGCCTCCCCGATTGGCGGCTGTGTTGAATAAATAAATCGATAACAATAGAGCGATTTATTATTGGGATTATTTTTGAGCAATGTCTACTCAGTTCGGCTGTCACTGATAATGAGATTGTTTCGGATGGCAGAAGTGATCGCTTTTCTTTTCGGTTCCAGGCTAGCGGACATAAAAAGTAGGTCTGATGAGGGATCAAAATAACGCGATAAACGTCGAGCTACATTGTTTTTCCGGATGAATTTCTAGATAAGTTTGCAGGCGAGGACCATAAGTAACGCAATCTGGATTGAAAAGAAAAATAAATCATGTATATAGTCGGGGATATTTTATTGATGTTCAAGATCGAGGGTCGTTATGGCACTCTATTATGGCGTGCCGGCACCATCCCAGCCTTAAACACAAGTACGAACAATCTAAAATAATTTAAAGCAGATAAATGACCTCTCAGCAATAATAGCATGCTTAACTTGGAGTGTTTATGTTTATACGTCGAAAGAATGTCACGTAGAAATTTGCTTGATTTGCATAAGTTTTGAAGTAAATATCTGCTGAAGCCCCTGTACCCTTACTTGTAATTATCGCAACAAAACATCCATTAGCGACTGAATCCAACAAAGTTCCTAATAAACGTCATTCGATGAAACGTACACAAGTACACGAGTTCTAGTATATTAAGCTACAATTTCCAATAGCGAGAGCAACTGACAGTTTTCAGTGAAGCCGTTTTAACAAATTAGCCATCGCTTTTCCGGACTCACGTTATCTGAAGTGGGGCCTTTTTATTGCGTTTCGTCCGTTTTATTGGTCTTAATCGAGGGTTCTCATCGGAGTTAATCGTCCATCGGCCTGGGAAAATTGACGCTATGTAACCTTGAAGGGTTTCATTTCTTTCGCGATTTCTTGATGATTTACATTTTATGTTGTTCGTATTTTAGACCCTCACGGAGCCCCGAAGCGATCCTGGATTTGGGAGGTGTCGATCCAATCGACATCGGAAAAAATTCTAAAAAACTGGAAAGCCACCACGAGTGTGTGAAAAAATTCTCTAGATCATTTTAGAGTTCCATAGGGCGTTTTGGAAAAATCGTAGGAGTTTTAATAGAAATTAGGCCTAAAAGGTCTAAACATATTGTTACAATTTTGTAATATATATATATATATAAGAATTTCTTTAACTGAATTCCACTCATTTTATTGCTTTAATCGCACCCTGGTTCCATAACCTGTTGCGCAAGGCAGCCATTCTTTTGTATATTTTTTACTTACTACCACTAAATTGTACATAGCAACTTACTAAGTCATCTTTCGTGACAAAAAATTAAAAAATCGGAAAAACAAAAAACTAAAATCGAAAAATGGAAGATCCAGAAAACGAAAATCCAAAAATAGAAATGTCGAAAATTCGAAAATAGAAACCTCAAAATCTCGAGAAAACGAAAAGTCCAGAGGTCGAAAAATAGAAAAGCCAAGAAATCGATATAACCCAAAATTAACGCAAAAATCAAATTTGAAAAATTTTAAACTTATTAAAACCCAAAAATAAAACAATCCAAAATTCTAAAAATCGAAAAATTTGCAAAAAACCGGAAAATCGAAAAATCGAAAGATCGAGCATTTGAAATAAAAAATATAAAATTAAAAAAATATATAAAAGTAAAAATATCAAAATTTAATCAATTCAGAAATTAAAAAATGTACAAAACTGAAATGTTAAAAAATTGAAAATTTGAGAATCAGAAAATTAAAACAATGCGAAATCGAAACATCAAAATATCTAGAAATCGAGAAGTCTAAAAATTGAAAAATTGTGAACTCAAAACAGCCTAAGATCGAAACATCGAAATATTCAAAATTGAAAAATTTAAACTTATAAGACCGATAAATCGAGAAATTGAAAAATACGGAAATTGAAAAATTCTCAAAATTGAAATGTTGAAAAATTGAGACATTTAAGACCTGAAAAATCGGGAATTCGGGAAAACGAAAAGGCCAAAAATTTTTCAAACTGAAAAAGCGAGTTGTAGAGAAATCGAAAATTCGAAAAATGTAAAAATTTAAATTCTTATGAAAACATTTAAAATCGGGAAATCGAAACATCAAAAAATCGTAAAATTGAAAAATTGAAAAGTGAAAATATCAAAAAATTGAAAAATTCCCAACTTGAAATGTTGAAAAATTGAAAACTTGAAACAACGAGAATTCGAACTCGAAAAATTAAAACAATACAAAATCAAAAACCTGAAAAATCGAGAATTCGAGAAAACGAAAAGGCCAAAAATTTTTAAAATCGAAAAACCGAGATGTAGAAAAATCAAAAATCGAAAAATGGAAAAAATGGAGTTCGTATTAAAACATTTAAAATCGAGAAATTGAAACATCGAAAAATTGTAAAATCGAAAAATAGAAACATGTAAAACTCAAAAAAATCGAAAAATTGACGCTATGTAACCTTGAGAGGTTTCATTTCTTTCGCGATTTCTTGATGATTTACATTTTATGTTGTTCGTATTTTAGACCCTCAAGCCCCGAAGCGATTCTGGATTTGGGAGGTGTCGATCCAGTCGACATCGGAAAAAATTTTAAAAAACTGAAAAGCCACCACGAGAGTGTGTGAAAAAATTATCTAGATCATTTTCGAGTTCCATAGGGCGATTTTGGAACAATCGTAGGAGTTTTAATAGAAATTTGGCCTAAAAGGTGTAAAAATATTGTTACAATTTTGTAATATATAAGAATTTCTTTAACTGGATTCCATTCATTTTATTGCTTTAATTTCATAACCTGTTGCGCAAGGCAGCCATTCTATTGTATATTTTTTATTTACTACCACTAAATTGTACATAGCAACTTACTAAGTCATCTTTCGTGACAAAAAATTAAAAAATCGGAAAAACAAAAAACTAAAATCGAAAAATGGAAGATCCAGAAAACGAAAATCCAAAAATAGAAATGTCGAAAATTCGAAAATAGAAACCTCAAAATCTCGAGAAAACGAAAAGTCGAGAGGTCGAAAAATAGAAAAGCCGAGAAATCGATATAACCCAAAATTAACGCAAAAATCAAATTTGAAAAATTTTAAACTTATTAAAACCCAAAAATAAAATAATCCAAAATTTTAAAAATCGAAAAATCTGCAAAAAACCGGAAAATCGAAAAATCGAAAGATCGAGCATTTGAAATAAAAAATATAAAATTAAAAACATATATAAAAGTAAAAATATCAAAATTTAATCAATTCAGAAATTAAAAAATGTACAAAACTGAAATGTTAAAAAATAGAAAATTTGAGAATCAGAAAATTAAAACAATGCGAAATCGAAACATCAAAATATCTAGAAATCGAGAAGTCTAAAAATTGAAAAATTGAGAACTCAAAACAGCCTAAGATCGAAACATCGAAATATTCAAAATTGAAAAATTTAAACTTATAAGACCGATAAATCGAGAAATTGAAAAATTCTCAAAATTGAAATGTTGAAAAATTGAGAAATTTAAGACCTGAAAAATCGGGAATTCGGGAAAACGAAAAGGCCAAAAATTTTTCAAACTGAAAAAGCGAGTTGTAGAGAAATCGAAAATTCGAAAAATGTAAAAATTTAAATTCTTATGAAGACATTTAAAATCGGGAAATCGAAACATCAAAAAATCGTAAAATTGAAAAATTGAAAAGTAAAAATATCAAAAAATTGAAAAATTCCCAACTTGAAATGTTGAAAAATTGAAAACTTGAAACAACGAGAATTCGAACTCGAAAAATTAAAACAATACAAAATCAAAAACCTGAAAAATCGAGAATTCGAGAAAACGAAAAGGCCAAAAATTTTTAAAATCGAAAAACCGAGATGTAGAAAAATCAAAAATCGAAAAATGGAAAAAATGGAATTCGTATTAAAACATTTAAAATCGAGAAATTGAAACATCGAAAAATTGTAAAATCGAAAAATAGAAACATGTAAAACTCAAAAAAATCGAAAAATTGACGCTATGTAACCTTGAGAGGTTTCATTTCTTTCGCGATTTCTTGATGATTTACATTTTATGTTGTTCGTATTTTAGACCCTCAAGCCCCGAAGCGATTCTGGATTTGGGAGGTGTCGATCCAGTCGACATCGGAAAAAATTCTAAAAAACTGGAAAGCCACCACGAGAGTGTGTGAAAAAATTCTCTAGATCATTTTCGAGTTCCATAGGGCGATTTTGGAACAATCGTAGGAGTTTTAATAGAAATTTGGCCTAAAAGGTGTAAAAATATTGTTACAATTTTGTAATATATAAGAATTTCTTTAACTGGATTCCATTCATTTTATTGCTTTAATTTCATAACCTGTTGCGCAAGGCAGCCATTCTATTGTATATTTTTTATTTACTACCACTAAATTGTACATAGCAACTTACTAAGTCATCTTTCGTGACAAAAAATTAAAAAATCGGAAAAACAAAAAACTAAAATCGAAAAATGGAAGATCCAGAAAACGAAAATCCAAAAATAGAAATGTAGAAAATTCGAAAATAGAAACCTCAAAATCTCGAGAAAACGAAAAGTCGAGAGGTCGAAAAATAGAAAAGCCGAGAAATCGATATAACCCAAAATTAACGCAAAAATCAAATTTGAAAAATTTTAAACTTATTAAAACCCAAAAATAAAATAATCCAAAATTTTAAAAATCGCAAAATTTGCAAAAAACCGGAAAATCGAAAAATCGAAAGATCGAGCATTTGAAATAAAAAATATAAAATTAAAAAAATACATAAAAGTAAAAATATCAAAATTTAATCAATTCAGAAATTAAAAAATGTACAAAACTGAAATGTTAAAAAATAGAAAATTTGAGAATCAGAAAATTAAAACAATGCGAAATCGAAACATCAAAATATCTAGAAATCGAGAAGTCTAAAAATTGAAAAATTGTGAACTCAAAACAGCCTAAGATCGAAACATCGAAATATTCAAAATTGAAAAATTTAAACTTATAAGACCGATAAATCCGGGAATTGAAAAATTCTCAAAATTGAAATGTTGAAAAATTGAGAAATTTAAGACCTGAAAAATCTGGAATTCGGGAAAACGAATAGGCCAAAAATTTTTCAAAGTGAAAAAGCGAGTTGTAGAGAAATCGAAAATTCGAAAAATGTAAAAATTTAAATTCTTATGAAAACATTTAAAATCGGGAAATCGAAACATCAAAAAATCGTAAAATTGAAAAATTGAAAAGTAAAAATATCAAAAAATTGAAAAATTCCCAACTTGAAATGTTGAAAAATTGAAAACTTGAAACAACGAGAATTCGAACTCGAAAAATTAAAACAATACAAAATCAAAAACCTGAAAAATCGAGAATTTGAGAAAACGAAAAGGCCAAAAAATTTTAAAATCGAAAAACCGAGATGTAGAAAAATCAAAAATCGAAAAATGGAAAAAATGGAATTCGTATTAAAACATTTAAAATCGAGAAATTGAAACATCGAAAAATTGTAAAATCGAAAAATAGAAACATGTAAAACTCAAAAAAAATCGAAAAATTGACGATTTGATTGATTTCATTTCTTTCGCGATTTCTTGATGATTTACATTTTATGTTGTTCGTATTTTAGACCCCCAAGCCCCGAAGCGATTCTGGATTTGGGAGGTGTCGATCCAGTCGACATCGGAAAAAATTCTAAAAAACTGGAAAGCCACCACGAGAGTGTGTGAAAAAATTCTCTAGATCATTTTCGATTTCCATAGGGCGATTTTGGAACAATCGTAGGAGTTTTAATAGAAATTTGGCCTAAAAGGTGTAAAAATATTGTTACAATTTTGTAATATATAAGAATTTCTTTAACTGGATTCCATTCATTTTATTGCTTTAATTGCATAACCTGTTGCGCAAGGCAGCCATTCTTTTGTATATTTTTTATTTACCACCACTAAATTGTACATAGCAACTTACTAAGTCATCTTTCGTGACAAAAAATTAAAAAATCGGAAAAACAAAAAACTAAAATCGAAAAATGGAAGATCCAGAAAACGAAAATCCAAAAATAGAAATGTCGAAAATTCGAAAATAGAAACCTCAAAATCTCGAGAAAA